CCAGACCGGGTGAGAACCTTGAGTTTCAGGAACAAAATAATGCAAAGAGCAAAGCCATGATTCCGTACGAAAATATGGGAATGGACAGACATGGAAAGAGCGCATTAATGGCTTGTACAGCACATTTTCTTTTAGTCCCTACTTTTTTTCCACTACAGACTCCTCCAATGCAGGCATGAATCTTCTACGGATGCATATTTGGGCGGGCCCATATCCTAACGTCGATTTATTCCTCGCAAAATAAACATAAACACCTACTGTCTCATTTGCGGCGTCAGCGCACTCCACGGCGCTCTACTATCGCTCCAGTGAATATTCCTCTGTAGTCGGTTCTTAAATTGCCCTAATGTGGCACCATATCGGCTGCGAAGAATGCTCAGTAGCGTAGAGTTCATTAGGCTGGGGGAAGGATAGCGAGGCTGTATGAAGGCCGGGCATGGGGTGGTTAGGCAGACAATACACCAGTGGGTTGCAACCTTCCGGGAACCTTATCGCAAATGATGGACACTTCGCATTTTACCTGTGACGTTAGTATGATGACTCATCCAGTATTTGTATGCTACTGACTGCCTGATAGCAGCTTGTGAACATTATTGATTATTCCAGGACAGCTGGTGGATTCCAACTCAAATAATCATGTAAACTTTTTGATTGAACCTGAGACGTAAAACTGTCATAAAGTCCTCCGATTAGCGTGTCTAAAGTGTCAGAATGGATTCGACAACAATGACCACTAAATTGAACGCATTTTCCGAAGAAGTACTGGACCAATACGAGGAATGTAACCATGAAAGCAATGTTCTATTCTCCTTACGTAAACGATAATGTGGCAGAAATTTTGATAGCCCCAGGATAACGAACTCGCTGAAAAGACAGAGAAAATCCACGGATATACTTACTTTCGTGGAATCAACAATGTTCTCAAAGCTGTCTCAAAGATGTCTCTGAAAAGGGAGTTGCGCACTGAGGGTTCACGCAAGCGGTTACAAACTACCAACCTTCTAGTTAGGTCATCTAACATAACTCATTTCCTTAACCTGCTCTACCCTCAGCGAGACAAACATTTTCATAAATGATATTCCAAACTACCCTTAGTCTAAGAATTGACTTGGAGCTGATAAAAATTCATACAAACTCGCATTCCGAGGAAATTATCGATGACATCCTTACATTGTCAAACCACAAGACAAATCAAAGATTATGGTAGTTATTTTCGTATACGACTGACGAACTGTCATATATGGAGGCCGTCTGAATCCCGTAGCAAAAAAGACGTACTTAGTGTAGATAAAAAAGTCCCTTACAAGCAAAATGTGGCATCCGGATGCCGAGGGCAGATCATATTCGAATTCACTGTCGGGTTCCATGCAGACACCTAGACGTATACTTGCAGTAAATCTAGGCTCCTGGCACATTATTACGTAATTAGTGGCGAAAATTTAAGTTTTGTATATACGTACACCCTAGTAGCAAACTATATCGAGACGATATCTATTAGATATCTATTTTTCGAGATACCTATATCGAGTATATATCGATTTTGTCCGCGGCCTAGATATCGAGACGATATCTATTTTTCGAGATACTACGAAATCGGCGATAGGGACAGGTTAGGGCACGCGCATGCTGCGGTTACTTGTTCTTATACCCATATCTAATTTTATTATTGTCTGTTCGTCTTAGTCATTCCCATCCCGGCTTACTAGGCCTGCTGTTGCTCACTTTATAACGCGTTGAACGAGAAAATTCACGTGGCTATTGCAACCGAGGTAACCAGATCGACCAAAAAGAACTACTTTGAAGGCGTGTTAGAAGGGAAAAAGTTTATTGGATTAAAAAATAACTTAAAAAAGGTTTATTACATAGAAACATCTTGCGTGGATGATGGCCCATCACTCATTGAACATCCTGCTTGAACATTCGCTTGACGAAGTCATCTACATTGTGCCCACCAAGGCATGTGAGGTAGGACGTCTAATGCAAGAGGGAGTTACAAATATGGTAGCATACCAATTGCTTTCGGAAGCTATTGTCCAGTACTTGGTTTCGAAAGTCATCGGCGTTCTCCTGTGGCTCCTAAAAGGTATACTGGTGTTATTTTCCATCACTTACTGGAAAGTCTCATTTCCATACCTCTTAATACGACGTATTCGTGTTCTCCGGGATCCCTGCCTAAACATAGTTAACATGGAAGAGTAGCAAACAAGAGATATAAATCAGTAATGGAAAGTAAGTGCAAGGACTGTCAACTCACGCGTTCCACGCCGCTCACGCGAAATAATGGCGCGGCCGCGTGTGCGCGCAATCGATAGACGACTAAAGAACGGCAACCAATGAAATGTCAGATTGCATGAGCGAGATGGCCAATTACGTGATATCTCGATAAATCGCTATTCACGTATATCGACTCGATATCTATTGCTACTAGGGCATATACAATAAGGGACAATCAGCAAAAGAACGACTGACACAACAACAAAAAATTGAGTTACCAGGGAGAAAATTGAGGGTTTCTGAACGCTGTAGTCCTCAGTGTCTACTTCCCGCACATCGTCTAGTTCACTTGCCAATTTTCGTAACGCCCTAGATGACATCGCAGAATTCTGCCGGAATTTTGCTCACCCCGCCTTTAAAATGGTATAGTAAAAGTTCCTCATATATTGTTTTGCTGAAGGACGATCAAAATATTATGGATTTACGAGCCTTCATTTCGACCAAAAACCTAGAAAATTGGGTTCTTTTTCAGGCATCTATAAATCTCTCGGTTAGATGCTGAGGCGATGATTAAAAGTCTAATAACATGTGTAGAAGGACAGGAGAGAAAGTAAAAATGTCGAGTATTTCTGTCGTTATAAAAGGGGACAATTGACAAAAATTTGCAGCGGAACTAAAAAAAGTAACTGTAAGATCACACGAGGGTTTGCAATGGGGTACACCACTGTGTGGGGCGCTACTCCGAGGGCCCGCTGATACACTGCGATTCTCGTAAATGCTTGCACGTGCGCACCCGTGAGAATCTGCTTCTCGGCAAATCGTAGTTTT